TCAGGAGATGTGAAATAATTTCATAGTTGAATGTTCCTGCCCTTTGCACTCCTCTACTATGGCAGGATTATCTCAGATTCCTGTTACATATTGTGATTTAGCTGTATGTTTTAGAATAACATAAAGCCTGGTCTTTATTATAACAGATTTAAATAGAGTACTAGTATTCCCTAGACTGTAATTACAGAAAATGTAGGTAACATAAAGCCCAAAGGCTGAATTAAGAGCCCGGCGTGTTTCCTCCAATCTGAAGAAAGTAGGTTATCGGTGTGAGCAGGAACCCAAAGGACCATCGCAGCATCTCTTCTGCTTCATGGGGCTGAGAAGGGCTGGCTGGATCCAGCCTTCCTGAGGCTCTTCCACATGGCAGGAGCTGTCCTCTGGGCATGCCCTCTGGCTCTAAGGGCCTCTTGTGTGAGTGATGCTGTCCGTCCATGTGGTGTGGTGGTGGCCGGGGTGCTCCTCCCTTGTGGGCCTGGGTGGCTTCATCCCTCCGTTACAGAACCTTGCTGGTACTGGGCATCTGGAAGGCAAGAAAGACGTCGTTGAGTGTAGAAGCAGAGATTCTTGGATAGGAGGGACCTTTAACAGGCACAGCCAGTCCACCCCGCTTGGAGTTCCGACTACCTTCTACAAAAGCCTTTGTTGGTACCATGAAGAAGGCACTCCCTCCCGAGATGGGGAACCTGCCCCTCTTGACCGCCTGTTTGTCTCGGAACCACTGATGCTGGCGCTGACTCCTTGCTGCCCGGTGTCCCTGTTTAACTGCATCATCGCGACTGCCGTATCTTTCCACAGCATCAGACGCTCCGTGACAATGAGAATCCCTTGTTATTGATTTTTCTCTCCATGCTAGACAGATGGGCAGGTGCTTAAGCCTGGAAATCATTGTGGTGAAACCCTTTATTTCAGCATAAATGACTGCCAGGCAGAGCTGAAAATCAGTTCAGACTGGAGTGACGCTTTGCAGATGTGTCTGAGCCACAATATTATGTGGTGTGTGTTCCAGCAGCCCCGCAGCTGATGCCCACCCTCCTCATCTGCGACGCTGGCCCTTGCTGCCGCCGTGGGCCTGCCTCTCCTCCTCCCTCACTGTCCTCTCAGGTCTGTCCCTTCTCAGCGGGTATGATCTGGGACTCTTGAAACCCACCCCTGTTAAAATGAGTCTAAAATAAGCACAAGGGGCATGAAGGTAGAATTTTTTTTTTTTAACAGCTTTAAGAATCTCTTGTTTGGACTTGGGAGAATGGGTGTGTGGCCTGCATTGTGGCTGTTCCAAGCTGTGGAGCATTTTTGACTGCATTCCAGAGACTTGAGGGCATCAGAGTATGTGGTTTCTGGATAAATGAGGGTTTGCTGTAGAATTCTTTTGAAGGAATGTACCTTCGTTACTTTCAAGTCTAAGCAGTGATGCTAAAAAGGTACTTCTGAGGAGGAGCCCATTGGACATATTTTGATGATGATTAGTTAGGACAAGCTCACAATTAGTGTCATGTCTTTCCACAAAATTAACGTTCGAACGTACTTTTTAAAGTAGCTTAACTATCTGTTTGTTATTAATTTACATGGTAAAGCTTCCAAAACTACATACACATAAACTTAGACTCAAGAGAAGCCAAATTCAATGAATCCTAAAATCATGAATCAGAAAAGTTGGTAGGTTTTTTTTTTTTTAAATCAAATTACTGTGCCAGAGAGCTCCAAGCACAGACTTTACAACAGAGAAGAGGAAACACGAATAGGCATGTTGAAACTGATAGAAAATGAAGAATTTGCTAGAAAACAGTGGGTCTCTTAATGACAGTGGTGTAGGGATTCTGTGTGCTGGGACTATGTCGGCCAAGGCCCAGTGGGCACAGAGATTCTCTGGAGGAACCTCGAGGAGGTGGGCATAGGCGGCCCCTGCTGAGACCAGCTGATGGCGGGGGTGGGGGGTGTTGGGGAGCAGCCAGGTTCTTTCCCAGGAAGGCATTTAGAAGCATAAACCACATAATAATAGTCCACCCACTGAGGAAGTCGCCAAGCCTGAACTTGCTGGGTCTTTCTATTTACTTGAAAAACTATCTTCAGCTCTAAAGGCACAAAGCCCAATTCATTATGCCATACCTTCCCCTTCTGTCCCTTGTAATTGCTGAGAAAAAAATGCTCTGGAATTTAGTCTATTTCTAGTCAGGAAGCAGAGGAACGGTTGTAGGACTTGGGTAATGAGGGAAGAAACACTTCATGAAGCGTTGAAAGCCTTCAAACTGTGGAAAGGATGTGACAATAAGAATGGAAGCCAGAAAAAAAAAAAAGAAAGAAAAAAGAATGGAAGCCAGAGGCGCTTACTGCTTGTCCACAGTGCGATCATGGAGGGCCCTGGCCTTGCTGAGCACTGTGAGGGGGAGAGGTGGAGGCTGGGGTCTGGGCTCACTGCACAGGATGACAGAGGGGCAGGGATTTGCAGGCTGAGCTGACCTGCCCATCCTTCACAGGCAATACTGGCTGAGCAGCTCTTCCTGGCTCAGACCAGCAACATCTCTGCTGCCCAGAAGCCTATGCCCCTAGGGTCGGCAACAGAATGGTAGGTGACCAAATGTCTCACGAAATTCCAGATCATGCTAAGGTGCTAGCGATGTGCTAGCGACCAAGGAGCTCCTGTAGGTAAAGTAGTCAGGAAGGCATCATCCAAGTGCGGGACTTCCTGACCTGGAGGCTGAGAAAAGGCCAGGCCTGTGATGATTAGTTCTAGGTGGCTTCCAGGCAGAGGACATAGCTAGGGAGAAGGGCCTGAATGGTGAACGAGCTTCAGTATGTGAAAAACACAGTCCCACAACCAAAGAGCTGGGGTCTGGAGCAAACTGGGCAGGAGGGGCAGAGACAGAAGAGAGGGAGTTGGAGGGCTTGACAGAGGACAGAACAGGAAGCCTGTCGCTCGGGCCATACTGGGTGTGATAGGGCAGTGGTTGTGGGTTGAGAGCAGGAAGGTAGAGTGGTCACTGCAGTTTAGAGAATGGACATTAGGGGGACAAGACCTGGAGCCCTGAGGAGGCTGTCATGGTGGTCTAGGCTAGACAAAGAGGTGGGGAGGTTTTCAAGGTCAGGACAGATTTTGATGGGATCTCTGATAGCACTGGTGGGTGGATTTGCTCTTGGGAAGGGGTGAGAAGAGATACAGGTGACTCCTGCTCAGCACTGGGGCTGGGGTTGGGGCGGGGCCTTGTAGTGTAATGGGGGCTGTAGAGGGAGGGAACAGGCTGGGCAGTGCAATGGCATGAGCATGCATGAAATCAAGCTTTCTGTATCGGCCTCAACAAATCTGAGGTACCTCTTAGCATCTGAGCGCACCTGTCAGGTGTTTGATCAGGCCTGAGAGCAACATTTAGTGTCTGGTCTTGGACTTTAAAAACCAGGGGACTGGATGAATTCACTTGGCGAGAGAGTATGGATAGAGAAAGGAGGGGAGAGCATTGGAGTGAACTCTGAGCCCTTTCCATGCTTAGAACCAGAGCACCCCAGAGGGAGCCAGAGGAGAAGTGGCTGCTCAGGGCAGAGTGCCAGTGGTTGCTAAAGAGAGGTTGTTTCTGGAGCGAGGAGTTAACTGTGTCACATGTTGCTGAGAGTTGAGCAAAAATGGGCACAAAGAAGTAACCATTGGGTGAGGCAGCAGAGGGACCGTGGGTGACCCTGACAAGCAATCTGGTTCTGATGAACATTCCATCAGATTGGGGTAGGGGTCAGTTGGAGGTCAGGAAGCAGAGCCTGGACTGTAAGTTCTTGGAGAAGTTCCTGTAAAGCACAGCTAAGCACTGGACACTGCTGGGGAGAGGTGTGGAATCAAGGAAAAGTCAGGTGGTTAGTCAGGTTTGTGTGATAGTGAGGTGGGGAGGGAAGGAAGGGGCATGGAGGTGCTCTATGATTTTGGAGAAATGACTAGGGTAGGTAGTGTTTTTAAGCTGTTGTCTGTGGACCGCACAGCACGGGCCTCTCCTTGGGCTCCCCCTAAGTTCTCTGTGAAGTCTACCCATGTCCCTAATGCTTTGATGTGATCAGCTCTGTCTGGGAAGCTCTGGGTTTTCCTTAGGCTCCAGAGCAAATGAAGAAGCTGGAACTCATTGGCCCATGATGGAGGTCTGGGTGGGTGAGGGCTTGTGGCCTGCCAGACCTGGCCGCTGAGTGACTCACGCAGTGAGCAGACGTCTCCGAGCTCACTCTGCCAAGCGCAGCTCCAGGCCCTGCAGACACAAAGCAAATAAGCCCCTCTCCCCTTAAAAAAGCCTACTGCCCACCCAGGCACTGATGGGCACTGATGGAACTTACAGCCCAAAGTAGGCTTGTTGTTTCTTAGATGCAGAGTTCGAGCCCTTTCCAGGAGGCAGGTTTGTGAGCTTGTTGGGAAGGTTCTTAGAAGGAGGGGATTCTGAGGTGGGAGAGCTGTCCTGGGCCCCCAAAGTGCCACAGCATCCAGGCTGGCAGAGCTGGCATCAGGAACCTGTGGGTACTTGTGTCAAGAAAGGCTTGAGGTTTTCTCTGATGGGTAACCTGTGACCTCCCCCCAAGGACATGTGGTTAGGGAGGACATCTGCTCGAGTGAGGGGAGGGTCAGGGCAATGTGAGGCTCCTCACAAATGCTGAGCCTTGGGCCCAAGGAGTGCAGTTCTAAGGCCCCAGGCAGCCTTCTCTGCTCCATTTTAAGAAGCGGGGGAGGACATAGTTCAGGTCCCTGCTTACCCACACCAACTGTTGTGACCTCAGATGAGTCATCCCACCTGCAGTACCTGCCTTCTCAGCAGCAAAATCAGAATTGTTCTGCCTATCTCATAGTCCTGCCAGATGCGGGCTCTGGAGCCACAAAGTCTGATCCTATTTCTAGCAAGGAGCTGAGGAAGGAACCGTGTAATCACTGAAAAGATCACCCAGGCCGAGGAGAGCGCTGGGAGCCAGCAACAGGAGCCTGATGGCTCCGTGCACGAGGCCATGGCTGCAGTCATGTGACGGTCTGTTTCATCTTTTCTGCCCAGTTCCGCCTGGTGGTGAAGACCGCTCTGAAGCTGCTGCTGGTCTTTGTGGAGTACTCAGAGTCAAATGCACCTCTTCTAATTCAGGCTGTCTCTGCTGTGGACACAAAAAGAGGTGAGTAGTCCTTGCCCCAAGTGTCATCAAGGTGAAAATGTCTCATGTAGAAAGATTTCCACATTTTACATGTTTTTTTAACCAGAATAAAGAATTAACAGAATTCCCTACATATGGGGCTCCCACTAAAAGGAATGTACTTTGTAGGATGGTAAGTATATGAAGCTTAGGGCCATAATGTGGTTTGACAATGAGGGAAAACCACTCATGGACTTACCCAGGAGAAGACAGACTCTACAGCACGTCTTTATCCTCTGCCAGCCCCACCACAAACCACAGAGGACCAGCTCCCTCCCGTTTTCCTTCCCTCCTCTTTCCTCTCACTGCTATGAGGTCTCATTGCTTCTGACCTCTAGACTGCCTGATCTTTCTCCCTTCCTTCCCCCCATGCCCTGTCTCCCAAGGGACTCTCACTGTCTCTTACCACTTCCAAGTGGAAGATTGTAAGACTGTTTTAACACAGTTTAGTCACATCATTGTGTATTAAGACCTGCCAATGATTCTTAAGGCCTACAGGGTAAAGTCCAAACCCTTCCTCTTATGGGACCCTCCACGATCCAGTCCCTGTTAACCTGCCACCCCCATTTCCCACCTGGTCTGGACCACCCCCTCCTTGCCTTGGTCATGTGCTTTTGAAGCTCCCATATGTGCCTCTTCTCTGCTGTGAAGAGTGAGTTTGGGGTCTGGCTTAGGGTATAACATGCTGCAGCACTGTGATATTAAGAAGCTATATGCTAGCTAGGTTTGTTTGTCTTTGTGTGTGTGTATGTGTCTTTTGTTTATATAATCTCCCAAATAGGACCCAGTTATTATTATTATTCCCACAAAGATTCAAATAAGAACAAATACTTGATAATATTTTAATGGTTATCATAGTGGCAGTATTATGGAAAATTTGGAAAAACCATTGCCAAAGAAGACAATGAAAAAATCACCTCTAATTTCGACAGAGATAATTGCTGTCAAGCATGTTGATGTATTTCTTCACTGGTGTGTGTGGGTGTACACAGACTGATGCTCAAATCAGCTATAACTGTCAGAAAGAAACAAGCGTCCTGAATAGCACTGAGATTCAAACCATTGGTCTCTGCTTAGCATTCCTCAGAGACCCACCTTCCAATGCTGAATTCAAATGGGAAAGAGAGTAGCTTACTAGTTACTTTGAAAGCTTGAATATAAGTTAAGGAAAGGATCCAGGACTATAAACTGGGGCTCCCATACCTTTTCCACAAACACACAGACAGAGATCAGCGCCAGACATGGGCAATCACAGGCCAGGAGGCAACTCTAGGTCTCTTTGTGGGGGTATGTGAGGGAGACAGACCCTAGGGCACGGTCAGGCTGTAAGTCTGGAAGGTGGATCCCAGAATGAAGCAAGATTCTGTCTGCCCCAGCTGCTGCTGTCTGGTGCAGATAGGAAGGCCCCATGGCCAAGAGCAGATCATGGGGCCAAGTGAAAATCCTTCATAAAAGGACTGCCAAGGGTTCAGAAGCCAGGTTTAGCTATTTTCAAGGCCAGTTAATTAGCTTTAAAGCCAATGATATGTGTTTTGGAAGGTAGTAAGACAGTTCCTTTCATTGTCTTGGGAAGATTCATCCTATAACTCGGTGGGGTTACTTTAGGACAACTAATGGGTTAGAGAGGCAACCTTCTCGTGACCTGGGGTTCTCCTTTGGCTTAGGAGCTCAGAGTTTCCTTCCTTGGCCCTCATGTTTCATAAAAGGGATGTGTGGGGGGATAGTGGAGTACCCCACACCCAAGGCTCCATTCACAGCCCCAGCCAGAGGCTCTCTGCCTGTGCCAAGTCTCTCCACCAAGACAAAATGCTGGCCATCTCCTCCCAATTACTAAAAATAAGATTTAAAAAACTAGCTAGTGGATTGTTTTCTCGGCTTTATGGTTTTTGCCTGTAAAATTTCTTAAGCTTTTGGCAACTGCTATTATCTGTCTGCTACTGAGCACTAGCAGCTGAAAAAAGAGAAAGGAATAGCTCTAATGGAAAAACTCAGAGAAGCTTATCACACATGGTTCAGTTGCATGCTTCCTTGTGGACATGTGTGGCCTTGGCCGTGGTCTCATAATGCATACAGATAACATCATCCTATTTTATTGCTAGTAAAATTGTTCCCGAATCCTATGATGGAATTAAACATACACACATGTCCTGGCATTCTGCAGAGGGCAGCGTGACTTCCAGGTGTGTTTCCACCTAGCAGGTTTAGAAGCTGCTCGCCAATCCCCTCCCAGCTGGGGGAACAGGGAGAGGTGCCAGAGGTCCCCAGGGTGAACCAAGCATGTCTGTTTGTGCACAAGTTTATAAGTAAGCTGTAAATTTTACTCCTCAGAGTGGCTTTACACTCATTACTCGGGATGAATTGGCATGGGAGATTATAGACAGTTGTCTTTTTTAATAGCGATTTATTCTTTTGGATAATGAAAACTGTCAGATTTAAGGAATCAGCAGTAAAATGAAGAAACTGGCAGTCCTCCAAACTCACTATGACCTAAAGCTGTCCCGGAGCAAATGCCCCCGGTTGCTTTGTAAACATCATGCGTGCTGCCCATGGCTTACCCAGAAGGGTTCATTCTGCAGTGTGGTCATTTGCTCTGTGGCCAAGAGCAGGCCAGTTAGAGAGCAGCAATAAAGCCAAAGGGGTCAATGTTCATCATGGGGAGTAATCAATATTTATAAATGAAAAATTTTAAATGCCCCGTTTGACCAAGCAATTGCACTTTCGCTTTGGAGCTGGGATGAAAAGGCCTGAGTTAGCCTCTGAGGCACAGGGTGGAGGACGGCATCTGTCCGCTCAGGCTGAGGGACGTTTTTTCTTTCACTTGCATTGAGTCATTTGGGTCCAACAGGAAGAGAGAAAGGCAGTAGCACCGATGGGAGCCTTGAGAGAGCCCTGCTTTGTCATTCTGCCATTTCGGAAACTCCCTTTTCTGGGCGTCTTCACGGCAGTGGTCAACAGGGACCTATTTGAGAGTTCTCTGTGCTCTCATTGGAGAGGTCCACCTCTTCCATAGAAGGTGGGGCAAGTCACAGAGCCAGTGACTCATGTTGAAATTTGTCATAAATCTCGAGTCCTGCTAATTTGGCTCAGCACAGCTTTTGAAGAAGTTCCATTTTTCATTTGAACGTAAGGTGATGAGATGTGACATAATTCTTAAACATGTGTATCACACGTGAGTAACAGGGAGAAGTAGTCAGCCGTCCTTTCAAGCAAGCCTGTGTTTGATTTCTGCTCCGGAACACAGCTACCTGTGAAGGACACACAAAGCGTGGTGGAGGTTCGACGTGGACAGAACTCAAGCTGTTTCCACCGTTATTTATAGCAGAAGTATCTGTCCTGAGCGTGTTTATCACGTGGAACGTGCTGTCAGGAACTTCTGTTTGAGTGTTAGAATTCTATATGAGGCCCTGTGTTAAATACCTTATTTTTAGGTTTAAGCTGGAGATCTAAGAGGAGAGTGAGAGGGAAAAGGAGTGAGCGATTTATTCTGTGTTTATTTATCTGGGTTTATTTATTCTGGGTTTATTTATCTGGGATTAGCTGTGGTTTGCTAGAAAGAGAGGACCATGTAGAAGGCCCGCCCGGGTGTAAGCAGGGAGCCACCACCATTACAGTTACATCTATGGATATTTGAGTGCTTCTTCCATAATAGACGCTACCCCTAAGCATTGCTCACGTATGTAGTAACTCAATTTATTTGGCACATATTCAGGTTTAACTAGGTGCTTATAGATGTTAGGAAAAAATATAGCCTGTACCCCAGTGTTTGGGGTTGGGGGAGCTGGTGGAATTGGAGAGTGACAGAAGACAATGAGTAAGGAAAGTGTTGTCTTTGCATGCACTCTTGCAGTGCTAGGGACAAAAAGGAAGTGTTTTATCTCAACGGCACCTCACAGTAATCCCATAAAGTAGGTGCTGTCGCCCCGTTTAGCAGATGAGCTGTCTGAGCCTCCCTTCACTGCATTGCTTTGGGGCCCAGTTTCTGTCTCTCACAGGAAGGGCTAGGATCCTGTGGTTTCTGATTCTGTGACAGGAGCTCCTCCTAGCACACACACTCTCTGTAGGAGCTCAAGAAGGCAAAGGCAGGGAGAAAGGGCCGGACTGCTGAGTTCAGACCCGGGAGCTACAAGGGCACCAGCTTAGCACTGGGCTGGCTTGAGGCTGTCTGCCAAGGCTATTGTGTTGAGCCTAATGTTCCCTGCCTTTCACCTTTCTTCTTCTAAGTATTTCTCATTTTTTGGCCCAAAACAATCAAAGGAGAGCAAACATTGGTCGCCATAGTTTATACATATTTGCAGACTAAAAATCCTTAAATGGTAATAAGGGACTCAGATATCACAGTTGAAGAACACATTTTTCAATTAAATTAAGCCAGTGTTTGAGTGTTCTTATTATAGAGGATTAGATGGTGCACATGTGTATGAGAGAGCAGCAGGGCTACTCCCCTCTCCTGGGGCAGCCCGCGTCGGCTGCTGAGCCAGTGCTGCCCCAGCTGTTTGGCAACTTTGGCTCCAAAGTGAGAGGAGCCAATCAGTTCTTTGGCTCCAGTGCTTCCCTCCCTGCACCATCTTTCTCTTAACCCCA